TAATGTTTTATTTTCTTTAATCATTTTGGACACATCATTGACACAATGTCATGCTGTTCTTCAACCTATGATAGAAATAGTTGAAAATATACATTATAGTCATAGTTGACACCTGTTCAAAAATAGAATCGGTTCGGTTCTAAATATACATGGCAAATTAATAGTTAGGTTTTTCTTTGTTCGGTGAAATTCTTTACACATCTTGCACAATTTTGGATCAAGTCAATCATTCCCTCAAATAAAGAGAGAGTAAAATTTTTATTTCATCAGTACATTTGACCCTCTGAAGTAGCTCAACCTCCTACAGAAAGTAAACAGCAGGTTATAAACTACTGCTTTGGCTTAGACTCCCTGATCTGATCAAACAAGACCAGATTTCACGCCTGTGAATTGCTCCCCAAATTGGAAAAAAATATAAAGCACGATTGTTTTATTCAAATATTGGATTGTATCACATAAGGAATGTTAAAAGGAGAGGTTGGCTCAAACTTTGCTCAAGTCAGATTTCATGTATTCTAGCTTAAGAAAAAATACATTAACAAGATTAAAACATGATATATACCTCTCCAGAAATACTGAACGATACTTGCAATGACTCCTAAAAACAGGGTGAATTAAATGCTTTGTGTGTATTAAGGAATTCATTTACTCAAAGAAAGAAAAAATATAGAATAATAGACTGGAATGCTTGTGGGTTATTTAAAGTCATCGGTATTAAGACGACACCCTCTTCTCCATCAAGGTGATGTAGCAGAATCATTTCTTACTGTCATGAGTTGCAGAATGAGATACTCCCCAGCAAAAACATTTTCCTTTCTATGGGTTACACAAGTACTAAATTCCCCATGAAAGAATGTGCAGTCTCTACGGGTTCCTCTTCATCACAACTTGACCCAAACCTCCATGTAACTAAAACAACCCAAGAGTTATTGCAAGTGAGGTGCGCCTGATGACAACCAGGGAGAGGTTTGTGTACCACCTCACCGGTACAAACATTGAGATTTCATCAGGTACAAAACAATCTACTGAACTGGAATTTTCAGCAAGAAAATGTTGGGTAAAAAGTTTCTGTATTAGGATAGAGTATCATGTATCAAAATAAATGTAGAGGTGTCATATAACCAAGAACTTCAAAAATTATTAAGTTTTATATCACATAATCTTTAACATATTAATAACTACTTAGGAAGAGCCTATATGGCAACCATACAAAATGAAAAAAATGAGAGATACTCTGCACAGAAACTGCAAAAGTATCCAACTCTATGAAATGAAGTACAATACATTGCACATAGTTAAAACAAGAGATGGGAAGCTAGAGAGTAATGGGGCACAATTGTAACTTGCCTTTTATGTAACCCAATCACAGATTTCCTGCTTCAGAATTGATGAGGAGATCTATATCCCTGTAATATGCTCAACACTGATAAACCTTCCTTATTCTCCAGTCACCAGCCTGTGGTATTTCCACCAGCCGTTTCATTGGCATTCATTCTTCTCTATGATATGTCATCATCCACATTAGAAAGTCAATGATTTCTATCTTTAATTTTTTTTTCTTCTTACAATTGGAACAGGTAGCCATTACAATGTTAAATTTCCAAGTTATATTGAGCGAATCATCACAGAGTTCAGTAAAACTGCATCTATGCAGATATCCTGTAGAGCAAAACCTAATATGATCAGGAGTTTGGTCATATGGTATACTGGAAAGCCTCTTCCTCCAAGTGAAGAGTCCATTACTATGGAAGTGGCAGTTGCAATTCTGACCAGCAGATAACTACCTTTCATACTTTTATGACCAACTTTATGGCAAGGTGATTAATTTGAGAACCATAGGTATACCTGATGAAACTACACTAAATTTTGCAGAGTGTGTTTTGATTAATATCTAACAGAATAGAAGTTGAAAGATTGAATTTCTAAACATGATTGAAATATTACACTATTACAACTAAAGGTTCTAGAAACCCTGTCTAAACTGGCAAAGATACATATTACTTGACACAGTCGTAAACACACCTATGCCCTCCAAAAAATCACCTTATCAAAACAAAAGAAAAAAGGGACTTGTATGATAGAAGCATCACTCCATTGCCAGTGACAATGGAAGCGTTCCTGATCAACTTGAGTTACAATAGACAGCAAGGTGTTTCAAATGTACGCAGAGCTTCCTGGTTGCTGAGGAATCCATGACATCATTTAGTGTTTCTTCAGGAATGGTTATAGTACATTTCCGTCAAAATTTACATCGCACAAACAGCATCATCTCGGCCCTTTTCTTGACCAGCTTCTTTCCAAGGTTTCTACGTCCAGACCCTTGCTATTTTTTTTGTGATTGACTGTCTTCAGACTGGGTCTTAAACCAAAACTGATGGGAAGGAATCTTGGGCAGGGCTCAGAAGTGCATACTCTGGCGCCGCGTCTTGGCCTGACTACCATTCGTTACTTTGTAGTTGTGGTCGCGTGTTAGCATCACTCCTGGACACGAGAAGATGGAATCCTCTGCAAACAGAAAGAAATTCAATGATCACTAACCTATGAATGAGACATCACGGATAATTATTCAACGAATATTGGAGGCCTCTCTATATCCAACATAGATATGATTTATAGATCATGTTAGTAATTACTTTCACTTACGGTCTTTGAGTGTATGAACTGTGTGACCTAAAGACTCGAAGAATGAGTGTTTTAGTGCTGCTGCTGCAGAAATCCTCTTCTTGGCTTCATACTGGAAAAAGTTAAAAGTAATTAATTGTACATAAAATTTTTAAAGTAATTACAAACATGCACACATACCCACACACACACACACACACCAGTAACATAAATAATTTAAGTAAACTGTTTTTTGTAAAAAAAACTTTTAATTACTTTTAAGTATCTCTGACAAATATCTATTTGACTACATATTCCAAGATATATTCATGACATCCAAATACATTTTATACAATGGAAAATTTAGATAACATGAATAAACAATCTTCAGGTAACCTAAAATTCAGTGCAGTTGCCCCAGAAAGAAGAGAAAACAGCAATTATAAAATGCAACAACAGCCCTAATGACTTACCAAGAGGAACTTCGTTAAAAGTCCGACAGCAGAATCATGGGCAAGTCTTGGTGCTCGGGCTAGCAACGGTTCTCCAGCATAAGACGAGAAAGAATACTGATTGAAATCTTCATTGGTGCTAATGCCAGGCCAGGTGGCTTCTGTAGGGGTGCCCAAGGTTCGGAATATTAGGTGGAGTTCATCTTCAACTGTGGCACCTGGGAAGAGTGGTCGTCCGCTGATCATCTCGTACATGATGCATCCAACTCCCCTGGAAAGAGTGTTTGGGGTAAAAATCTGGCATGCCTACAGGAAGAATCTTTATATCTGTACCTGTGCATATACACTCACACAGACATACACTCTGTGTGTGTGTGTGTGTGTGTGTGTGTGTGTGTGTGTGTGTGTGTGTGTGTGTGTGTGTGTGTGTGTGTGTGTGTGTGTGTGTGTGTGTGTGTGTGTTGTGTGTGTGTGTGTGTGTGTGTGTGTGTGTGTGTTGTGTGTGTGTGTGTGTGTGTGTGTGTGTGTGTGTGTGTGTGTGTGTGTGTGTGTGTGTGTGTGTGTGTGTGTGTGTGTGTGTGTGTGTGTGTGTGTGTGTGTGTGTGTGTGTGAGCTGTGTGTGTGAGCGCGTGTGTGTGAGTGATGTGTGTGTGTGTGTGTGTGTGTGTGTGTGTGTGTGTGTGTGTGTGTGTGTGTGTGTGTGTGTGTGTGTGTGTGTGTGTGTGTGTGTGTGTGGTGTGTGTGAGCGTGAGTGAGTGAGTGAGTGAGTGAGTGAGTGAGTGAGTGAGTGAGTGTGTGTGTGTGTGTGTGTGTGTGTGTGTGTGTGTGTGTGTGTGTGTGTGTGTGTGTGTGTGTGTGTGTGTGTGTGTGTGAGTGAGTGAGTGAGTGAGTGAGTGAGTGAGTGAGTGAGTGAGTGAGTGAGTGTTTGTTTCTATGAGAAATATAGACTGCCTTGCATTTCTGTAAATATTAAAAAACATCAGTGTTTATCTTACTGCAAGAATAAGAACCATAACTCTGAGGAAAAAGAAAGAAAGAGAAAAATTTACATTTTTTTAATACAACGTGAAGAAAACTTACCACATATCAATTTGTGTTGAATATTCTGTTGAGCCTAGTAGTACATCCGGAGGCCGATACCACAACGTCACTACTTCGTTACTGTATGTCTTGGTTGGCACTGACTTGGCACGTGCCAAGCCAAAGTCTGCCAGCTAATGGATCAAGACAAGCATGATGTAAATCAAAACCACTTCCTTTTGTTGATATTATCAACACTGCAATGCTCATTCACAAAAATATTCTTTAAATATTGACATAATTACTACTTTCATACACATTGCTGGCAATGCTATCTCACCTTGAGTTCTCCCTTGTCATTGATGAGAAGGTTCTGAGGCTTGAGGTCGCGGTGAAGGACTCGCCGCTGGTGGCAATAGGCTAACCCTCGAAGCAGTTGGAACAGGAAGATCTGCAATTAAATGCTAGTCAATTAAAAATGGGTCTTCAAGAATTTTCCATACATTCACCAGTCCTATCTATGCCGACTATGATTATATTCAGCTGTCTCCAGTATCTACTTTACAGAGGGATCAACAATGCAATAATTACATTGACTAATATTAAATCCCTGATAGTAACAAGTTAAGCATGAAACTTTTCCATTTATCATATTGATCCTTTTTACTGGTTGAAGTTCCTACGATGCTGGGTAGCTACAGATATTTCTTTGTCTAAAATAATTTCAAGTTGAGTAAAGAGCAAAACTGGTAAATCAGAAATAGCAATAAATTAATCACACTAAATTTAAATACTTGCAAAAGTTAAACTTACCTTAACATTATTCATTGATAATTGTGCTCCACATTCATCCATATACTGTTTGAGATCCCGGTCTAAATATTCAAATACAAGAGTTAAACTCTTGTCTGTATGAACAATATCATGTAACGTCACTGAAAAAAAATGAAATGTAAATTAAGTAAAAAAAGAAAGAAAAAAAAAAAAAATACTGACAAAGGTTATTTTGATAAAATCAAAACAAATTGGTCAGCTGATACAAACAGAAGAAGAGAGACTCACCAATATTTGCATGTTTAAGTTCCTTGAGAAGTGACACTTCCCTGATGGCTGTACATGGTGCACCTTCCTCGTGCTCCAGACGAATTTCTTTCAGGGCTACTAACGCGTCTGTTAGTCGGGACCGTCCTTTGTACACAGTTGCATATGTACCCTAGGAATAATAATTTCTATTAGACAAATGTAGAAATGAAATCATCATCATGTTATTTCATGCCTAAAATGCAAATAGTTTTTAACACTAGCAATAAAAGTCCAATATATTGTTGACAATGATAAAAAATCCATCACACTGCAAATCCAGTTTTGGAAAGAGCAGGAATGAATGAATAAGAGTGAGAACCTGTTTATATATAACTGTGTACACAATGGGAGAAAGGGGAGTAGTTTATAGGGAGAAATGACAGAATGAAAGAAAGAAATTGAGTAATAGGGAGAAATTGAGCAATAGGGGAGGGAGGGGGAGAGGGAATGAGAGAGAGGGGGAGGGGGGGGGGAGGGAGAGAGAGGGGGAGGGGGAGGGGGAGGGAGAAGGGGGAAGGGGAGAGGAGAGGGGAGAGAGAGAGAGAGAGAAGAGAGAGAGAGAGAGAGAGAGAGAGAGAGAGAGAGAGAGAGAGAGAGAGAGAGAGAGAGAGAGAGAGAGAGAGAGAGAGAGAGAAAACATCTTGGAAAATTTATTATTCCCAAATTCCAAATTATGCCATAAATGCACTCACTCTCTCTCAACATTAATCCATACTTCCCGCCCCTTCCCCTCCCACTTCCCACCAATCCCACCTACCCTCCCTTCCCATCCTCCACAATGTCCTCCCCCCCCCAACCTCCAACCACTCCTTGCCCCTCCCTCCCCATCCTCTCACCCCTACCATCCCACCATTCCCCTCACTACCTTCCACCAACCTCTCCCCTCCCCTCTCCCCCCTCCCCATCCTCCCACCACTCTACCCTCCCTTTTTTCCCACCCTTTCCCTTCCCATTCTCCCACTTCTCCCTTCCTCCTCCCACCTCCAACCACTCCCTTCCCCTACCCTCCCCATCCTTCTTCCCTGTTTCTCCCACCACTCCCTCCCCTCCCCTCCCCTCCCCCCTCCCCTCCCTCCCCATCCTCCCACCACCTCCCCACACTAACCTCTCCTAACTTATCGAGCTTGGTGTAGGTTTCCATGCGCCCGAAGCCGATCTCCGAGAGGGATTGTCTCCGCGAGGCCCTGCTGAGAGGCCCGTCGGGGCTGATGGCCGTCTTCTGGAGGAAGGCGTCGGGCACCCGCAGGTCCGCCGGCAGCGATAAGCGTTTGTTGATGTCCTGAAGAAAGAAGGGCGTGTGATAAACGTGCTCACGGAGACATCAATAAAAATATATATACCCCTATCCCATATATTCATATAATCCCTGAAGAAGAGACAAATGACCCAAATAATACAATTTACCAACTAAACATGAGTGAGAACGAAGAAAAAAGTAATAAGAATATACCAACCTCTTGTGTGATACGCCGATTTTTCTGCCTGAGTTTGACGTTGACAGGAGAGGTGACCTCATCGCTGGCTCCTGAAGCTTCTTCGCTCTCGCCATCACTCCCTATCCTTGGTACCTCGTGCACCACACCTGCAATGGCAAAGGGTCTCTCGTTAAAACGGGGAAAGGCGTTTGGAAAGGATCAATGGAAGAAGTAATGAAACCCATCGGGATATAAAACGCGTAAGAAACTATCAATAAAAGAACACAAGAAAACAATACAAGCTACTTTCTCAAAGAAAGAAATCCCTGAAAGATACTTTGTTGTAAAAAAAAAAGTCTCGTCATATTCTACAAAGGACAGATATCAGACCAGGCAATAAAAGATGGAGAGCTCGTGTCCACCGGACTTCGACACACTTGAGCGTCTCGATATTTGCGCCAGCGGGAGGGGGAAAGGGGGGTCCCAACGCCCTCCGCGCAGTCCACGTCGCCCTTCTCCCCGGGAGCGTCCGCTGATGCCACGTTCAACTGCCGGTCTCTCTTTACGATTATTGACACTTACGACAGACATAAATCCTTGCCAATGTATCAGCGTAGATCGAGTACTCACTCAAACTAAAAAGGATATCCAGAGAGAAAAAAATGATACGAGGATGAATAGCAAGATCAAAACACTCTACGACGACAATAAAAATCACTCTAACGCCAGCACAAACAGAATCATATAAATCCCGACGTCGGAGGGGTCCTCACGCCAAGGGGGGAGGGGCGGGAAGAGAAAAGAAAGGAAAAAGAGGGAAGGGAAGGGAAGAGGAGAAGGGGGGGGGGTGGAATCATTCCACTCGGCGAGTTTGGCTTGCCGCGTGTCATTAGCCGTCTCGCGGATGAGCTGAGTTCTAGCACTTATCATTCATGGCACCTTAAACTTATTTATTAATCTATTTATTTATCTATTTCATTATTATTTTATTATTATTATTATTATTATTTTTTTTTTTTTTTTTTTTTTGGGGTGTAATTCTGATATTTTATAGGTACGGCGATCATGCTTAAGCAGAGTGAATTACTGAGAATGAGAAGGAGAAATTGTGATGGAGTGAGAAGGAAGGGGGGAAAGAAGGAAGGAAGGAAGGAAAGTAAGAGGAAAGAAAGAGCGTGGGAGGAAGTAAGGAAGTAGTGAAGGAGAGCAAGAAATGCCAGAAAGATGCACCAGACTCCTTCCCAACCCTCCTTGCAACAACCGCCAACCAAACCGCGCAAGAACCAGCCTCGCAGTCGAACTCCCCGCAGCTCCGTCGGGTCATCAGGTGCAGAAGGAGGCGCCGACGCCGCCACGAAGAACCCACGCGGCCACTTGGCAATCCGAGCGACGCCGTAAAGTGAAACGATTGGCTTTCAGGTTCCGCTCTCGTAATGCTCGACTTGATGGCCACGCGCCGTAAAACACGAGGGCTGAAAGGGCCCGCCAAACTGCCCAAGTCTGCTTGCGGTCGTAAACACATACGATCCAGCAGACGCGCCGATGTTATAACCCCTTGCACAGACACATGGATAAGCATACTGAGGGACAGACAAAGACAGACAGACGGTGAGAACTCGCAAACGCTTGTTCCTGGTATATGCGTGAATATTCGAGCGGAATCGAATTACAAAAAGGGAAACGTGCAATTCTTCTAACTACCTATTTTTTTGAACCTGGACAGATTACAGAAATCGCCAGTAAACCATAACTTTTAGTTTCCTAAGGAACTAGACTGCAAGTGCAATCCAGCGAAGCACTGATACAATTTCTATTGATAACAAATAAAAAAATAAGCAACACATCCCCTTCTCTCTCTAACCCTTTCCGCATTCCGTCTTTCAGTAAGTCGGTCAGTAACACAGCAAGTCAATATCATAGTCAGTCGCCCAGTAAACCTGTCAATCAAACCTCCTCCTCGTCAACAGGCTTTTCGATTCGATGCTCTCTCCAGCAGACGACGAAGCCAAACACGAATGGAACATGTCCACAAATCCCAATCCTCGCTACACGTGCGATATCAACCCTTGTGGATCTTGAAACGGAAAACACACGAGGGTCGCACCTGGCCTCTACCCAACACACACACACTGATGGAGCCCCTATCCCTTGTCCCTTCCGCGTCAAGGTCTGAGAGAGAGAGAGAGAGAGAGAGAGAGAGAGAGAGAGAGAGAGAGAGAGAGAGAGAGAGAGAGAGAGAGAGAGAGAGAGAGAGAGAAGAGAGAGAAGAGAGAGAGAGAGAGAGAGAGAGAGACCCCAATACCCCCAGGGGGCGCACGACCAGGGGGCTGATAAGAGTAATAAGCAGCCGAATGCGGGTCGCGTAAGGAGGTGGTCGCAGCTCCCTCTGATCCATTATTAAGAGCGGAGGCGAGTTACGGCGCCCGGCCCCTTCGCCGCTCATTCCGCGTCGGCCGCTGCCTTCTGACCTCGCCCTGCCGCCGATTCCGACATTTTCCTTCGAGAGGAAGGAGGAGGACTCGCTCCCTTCTTTCTATTTTTCTCTTCTTCCCCTCCTTTATTTCTCCTTCCTCCTCCTCCTTCCTTCTCTTCCCCCCCTCCCTCTCCTCTCCCTCCCCCTCTCTCCCCTCCTCCTCCTCCTCCTCCGCCCCGCCGAGCCAGAGACGCGCAGGTGAAATTGCATTCTCCGACGAGCTTTCCCCGCCTTTAATAGCGTGTAATATTAAAATCACAAGGCTTGCTGGGGACAAGCCGAGGTTTATGTATAGAATAATCGCATCAGTCTCCGTCTACACTGCTCGGCGGGGGAGGAGGAGGAGGAAAGGAGGAGGAAAACAGGAGAGATGGAGGAGAGAGGAAGAGGAAGGAGGAGATGTGGATGAGGAAAAAGGAGGAGGAGGAGGGAAGAGGAGAAGGAGGAAAGAGGAGGAGGAGAAGGAGGAAGCTGAAGGAGAGGAGGAAGAGAGAAGAGAAGAAGTTAAAGGAGAATAAGGAGGAGGTGAAATAGGAGGAGGAAGAGTAGGAGAATCCCCTTGGTACGTCTATATGCTTTAAAATTGACGGCCTCGAAGCGTGAACCGACGGCCGTGGAAAAGGGGAAATCTCTCCTCGCTTATTCTCCCCTGGCTGCCGGCTGGTCCCACGTCTAGCAAGAGCAAGCAGCAAGAGCAAGCATCAACAGCCAGCGACAGCAAGCAACGGCAAGCAACAACGAGCAACCCCCCTCTATAGGCCAGCTGAACTCCGACCGCCAACGCACCAAGCACCGACGTTGACAGACCTAATCACCCCCAGTGACAACGCCCCCTGCACAAACCCCGATCTGCAACGAACCGATTTCCCGTGCAATAATCTACCCTACCAACATCAAATAGCAAAACCCAGCACGCAGAAATGCCAAGTGATAAAACGACGTCAAACGCCGCCACTTCACAGCTCCCTCCGCCCGTTTTGCAATTACTAAAGTGGCCGAGGTTCACTGGCCACAAGCCTCTATCCTCGCCTATTTACGGCCCGGGAGAAAGGGCGAGTTGCATTTGATATCCAGGTTTACTGGCGCTACCATGACCAGCACTATGTTAATCATCATCATCACTGCAGCAAATGTCATGAATATTATGATTGTACTTATTATAAACATTATTATAATTACTGTTACCATGATTATCATCATTACCGCAGTTATTACCACCCCATCCTCGTCCTCATCATCCTCATTGCAGCAGTCACTACCCTCATTATCCTCAGTCCCTCTGAACAAATCACGGCCGCCAACGAGGCAAGAATCCCGACTCCGGAAGCGCTCGCGAACGAAGCAAATCGAATCTCACGCAACGCAAGCCCGACCCGGCCCATTACACCAAGCCAGGCGCTCCCCGACCAAGCCACCCGACTCCTCCGACAGCAGGCGGATAGGTGCACGGGGGGCGGCAAACAAGGAGACAAAGGGGAGAAAGAGGAAGGAGATGGGAAGGAGATGGGAAAGAGAGAATAGAGAGAGGGAAAGAGTGGGGGAGAAGGGAAAAGAGAAAAATGGGGGAAGAGAGAGAGAGGGGGGGAGAGGTGATGAGAGTGGGGTAGGGGTAGGGAAAGAGATAAGGAATGGGGGATAGAGAAAGACGCGGGGTGGGGGTGGGGGGGTGAGAGAGGGAAAGTGGGATGAATGGAGAATGGGAGAAATGGGGAAAGGGGGTTAAAGGGAGAGAGAGGGAGAGAGGCTGAAGGAGGGAGAGAGGGAGAGAGCAATCGTGGGCGTGCAAATGGGCGGGGAGAGCGACCGGCGTGGTCGGAGTCTGCCCGGATTTCAACACGAGCAATGTGATGAATTTTTGAGGGTCGGGATCACGGCTCTCCACCTCTGACCTTTCCTCCTTCAAGGGGCGGGGCCGGACGGAGGAAGAACGAGGGAGAAGGGGGGGAAAGGGGAGGGGAGGGGGGAGGGGAAGGGGGAGAGGGTAGGAGGGGAAAAAGCGAGAGGGGGACCGATGAACCAAAGGATACGGAAGGATGCTGATGAGACGTCGGGGGAGTACTCAGGTAACATTTTGGTCTCCCCCCCAGGCTGTCCCCACCTCCTTCCACACGACCCTCCCCCCTCTCCTACCCATTCGCCTGCAGGGATTACCTAGATAATTTTCTGTGCAGCCCAATGCCGTAGCCCTTGAAAAGACCAACCAATATCTGCCAAGTGACATTGCAATCTACTGCACGCCCTCCCCCCCCCCCCTCTCTCTCTCTCTCTCTCTCTCTCTCTCTCTCTTCTCTCTCTCTCTTCTTCTCTCTCTTCTCTCTCTCTCTCTCTCTCTCTCTCTCTATCCTCGGTGTATCCCTTTCTCTCGTGTATCCCCTTTATCTTTTTCTTTAATCCTCCTCTATCCTAATACTACCCCGGGGCAACTAAAGACCACAGTGAGAGCCACATAACTTCTTCTGTCCCTCACCTGGGGACAGAGAGGGAAGCTGGTGAGAGAGAAGGAGAGGGAACATAAAGGGTAAGAGAGAGGGATGAGAGGAAGGAGAGAGAGGAGGGGGAGGGAGAGAAGGAAAGAAGGAGAGGAGAGGAGGGAGGGAGAGAAGGAAAGAAGGAGAGGAGGGAGGGAGAAGGAAAGGAGGGGAGGAGGGGAGGAGGGAGGGAGGGAGAGAGTGAGAGGCGAACAGTCGAGAAAGA